AAAAACAAACATTTGAGTTCTTCTCTAAGTTATTGACAAGATTTGAGTATTTAGCACATTTTTGTTAATATATGTACGACATCTGTGTTATTTAAAGTAATCTAATTAATATAATACGTTTACATCTAAAATGAGCAAAAAGTTATACATAGTATTTAATTAATTTTTTTATTTAATACATTTGGTATTTTGATATTATATTGTTAGAAGTTTATTTAATTAGTAAAACTTATTTATGACTATTTACTACATATTAGAAGTTTATTACTATGACTAAATACCTAAAACTTATTTGGTATTTTTATAAAAATATTACTAAAATAAAACTTATTTATCTAAATATGACTATTCATTACTACAACGTGGTGTTGTAGTAACTTAAGTTGAAAACTTGAACATGAATTACTATGATTTCATTACTACTCTAGTAACTAGTCATATATTTGTAAATCAACTTTATTTTGGTCATATTCATGTAATTATTTCTAGTTATTACTGTAAATATGACTATTTAAGCCAAAAATTACTACAACTAGTATGAGTCTTTATTTAAAATTTGATTAAGGTTCAAATTTATACAGGATCAATCACCTAGTAAAGTCACAGGGAGGGGGTAAGCTTTACAGTACCCACCTTACTCATAATAAAGCGCCTCCAATCATCTCGAGCAACTACAATTATGCTTCTTTAATTTCAAAAACTTTTTCTTTACTCTGCATTGTATCTTTCATATTGTTAATACCGATATGAATTAAACTTCGGGGAGTGTAAAAAAGAAGAAAACGCAAATAAAAATATTTTTAAGAGTGAGTAAATTATATCCACATAAAGAAGCTATTACAACAATTTTCGCTTACTAATAATGATAGAACTTGTGCATTATTTTATCTTCTCTATGTTGGGCAGGTTGCATGGTGTGTAGGCGTTGGAGTTAATGCGTCTAAAAAAAGGCAGCAAAGATGCACGCATGACTCGAGTTTATCTGATATCTCACTTTATAATCCATGTCGTCATTGGGTCGGATCCAGACAATCGTTAGACACACCCCATTTCACATTTTCACCTTTCGTTAACAGCTTATGTACATATTTTTCTTATCGGGCCTCCGCACCCCCAAACTTACTAGGTGCACCACTTTCTTTTTACTATTGAACAGATTTGTCCTCTTTCAAATTTGAACCAATTGTATTGTTTTTAAATAATTGTACCTAGTCAGTAGCTCACTAAACTTGTGTAGCACACTAAACCCTTGACCGGACCTCCTCAAGTGTATTGCCTTTTAAATTAAAATAAGTTTTCATATTTCCTTAAAATTTGTCTAACTTTATTTCTAAACACATTATGATATATATATATATATATATATATATATATATATATAAATATGATATATATATATAGGTTAGAGACCAAATACAAACCCATCTTAATATGCTAACCTACAAACCTAATCCTACTCATCCATCTCATATAATCTTTACGCGCGTTCAGTTTCAGATGCGGACGATTAACTTAATCAATTAAAGGTTCCTTAAGTCTTTTTTGTTTTGTTTAATTTTGAAAACAAAAACACGTTCTCTTTCCACATAACTGCTTCATCATTATTACTTTTTTCTTCTTTCTTCAGTATTGAAGCTTTAGTTCATTCTCATCTCAAAATTTTGTTTCTTCTTTATCGTACAAATCTGCTTTCAGCATAATTTCTTCATCACCATTAACAGGGGAGACCATGGATTCCGTTAATATACCCTTGTTTCGTGAATTCTTTTTTTTTTTTTTTTAATTTATCTCCATCTCTTACTCCTTCGTCCCCATGAAATTTTGCATTTTAGAAAATCTTTGTTTTTGTTTTTTATGAGATGAATCATATTTCAACGTATTGATTTTTGCCTATATGAAATTCATCAAATTCATATTTATACAAAATAAAAAATGTCTAAGTGCTACTAGCTTAATTTGCCTGAAATAGGTATGGTGTTCGTACGTTGATCATGTATTATGCATTACGTAACATCATGTATTTAGTATGCATGTCAATTGACTATAGAATGCAGATGTCATAGTGATAAGATGCAATAACTTCTAAAATGAAAATGGGAGCTCATTTGACCAAATTCAATATACGACTTCTAAAATACATAAGTCATAATGATATTAAATTGCAACATATGAGCTCCTAAAATAATGCAGATTTCATAGCGTTAAGATGCAGTATGAACTTTTAAAGTGCACATAACTTTCTATAATGGATGTGAACTTTTAAAGTGCACAAACTTCTAAAATGCACATGTTATAATGATAAAATGCAAGATATGGACTACTATAATGCAACGTTGACATGTTTAGAGACTATATAGTTCTAATATAAGTTATGAAGATATTATAAATATATAATGCATATCTCGTAATCATAATATGCACATCCATTAATCTTACTATGCACGTTCTGTAACTTTAATTTGCAGACACTTTTACATGTGTTCACTTCTTACAAATTTAATATGTTAGAAGTTAATATAAATTATGCATCTTACTAAAGTGCAATATACGAACTTCCAAAATGCACATGTCATAATAATAAAATGCAACACGTGAACTAAAAATGCAAATGTCATAACGATAAGATGCAATCAATAGCTCTCCATCCTTAATATGCATATCACATAACCTTATTATGCATATGCACACGTTATACTTATACAATGCACATCTCACCACCTTAATATGCAGTTCGCATGTATGTTTACTTCTCATATGCACTTGTCATCTCACTAAAATGCAATGATGAACTTATAAAACACAACATCGACATATTTTATCAATATGAGTTTCTAAAATAATTTATGCACACATTTTGAATATATGATGCACATCTCGTAATCTTAATATAAAGTGTTATATAATGCATATTCTCTAATCTTAATATGCACTGCTCACATATATTAAACTTCTACTTGTGTTGAAATATTAACTTTTTCATTCGATAATAAGAGCCAAGTTTCGAAAATAAAGGTTTATTAAGAACCGATTGATTCGTAGAAATTATTAATTACAAAAAGGTAAATTACTTTTCAATATATGATTAACATCAATCATATCATGGGGTTACCTTGTCTGCCACTTACCTTATATAATTTCCATATATTTGGATTGTTAATTGTTTAGTGGGAAGTATAGCACCGTTCGAATCAATTAGCTAGTGGGATATCTTTGTTTTACAAATTACATTTGTGACCTTTTAAATGCCTAAAGCTATAAAACGGTGTTATCCGTTTTTTTTCTCATACGGCTGAGTGCATGCAGCGCGTTTCAATAATCATCAGCCGTCCGCATGATTTAATCCAGCGGATGTTGTTGGTTTGTAGCTTAGCACCGGAAGCTTGGTTTGCATGGGATCTCTCCCCTATATATATATATATATATATATATATATATATATATATATATATATATATATAGAGGAATGATCCTGTCCAGCCGGAGGGACAGGATCTTCCGTCCGGCCGCCGCCATTTGGGGCGGTTCCCGGTGGAGTTTTTTGATGAAATTTTTATGGAATGTTCCTCATCAAGTCTAGTTTACCCACAAAAAATTTCAGCTAAAAATTCGATCGGGAAGGCAGTCAAATAATTTTTTGAAGATAACTGCTCCAACTTAAACATATAAAACGCAGTTATGTTTCAAAAAATTATTTGACTGCCTTCCCGATCGAATTTTTAGCTGAATTTTTTTGTGGATAAACTAGACTTGATGAGGAACATTCCATAAAAATTTCATCAAAAAACTCCACCGGGAACCGCCCCAAACAGCGGCGGCCGGACGGAGGATCCTGTCCCTCCGGCTGGACAGGATCTTTTCCGTATATATATATATATATATATATATATATATATATATACACATATATATATAGAGACATATATATATATATATATATAGAGAGAGAGAGAGAGAGAGAGAGAGAGAGGACTGCTCAGGTCCCTCCGGAGGGACGGGAGGGACCGTCCGAACTTTACTGTTTGGGGCGGTTCCCGGTGGAAGTTTTTGATGAAATGTTTTGAGCATGTTCCTCATCAAGTCTAGTTTGTCCATACCAAATTTCAGCTCAAAATTCGACCGAGAAGGCAGTCAAATAAATTCTTGAAACTTACTGCACTTTATATATGCGCAGAATGTGCAGTAAGCTTCAAGAATTTATTTGACTACCTTCCCGGTCGAATTTTGAGCTGAAATTTGGTATGGACAAACTAGACTTGATGAGGAACATGCTCAAAAAATTTCATCAAACAATTCCACCGGGAACCACCCCAAACAGTAAAGTTCGGACGGTCCCTCCCGTCCTTCCGGAGGGACCTGATCTTTGTGTGTGTGTGTGTGTGTGTGTGTGTGTGTGTGTGTGTGTGTGTGTGTGTGTGTGTGTGTGTGTGTGTGTGTGTGTGTGTGTGTGTGTGTATATATATATATATATATATAATCTCTGACAACACATGCGAATGATATTTAGGATGTTTTTAATCGAATTGATTTCAATTCAGATATATGTAAACCAATCATGTCAAATTAGACTAGACTAAATTTCAAGAATAGTAAATACACATTTATCGGTTGTTCACCAGACAAAACTTAAATAGATCTAATAAGAATACATTTTTCAAAATTTACATATATAATATGGATGTCATGTGATAGATCATAAATATTTATTTAATTTGGTATAATTTTTACAAAAAATAGGAGCACAATTGAAAGAGTGATAACATTTCATAAAAAAGAATTATTTGCCACATGGCAGCAAGTTATTGGATGGAGAAAGAATTTAAAATTGATTTAGTATGTGGCAAGCCGTGTGATCCTGGGAGAACTAAGCATCAATTTTAATTAATATTAATTTATTTTAATTAAAAAGGTCATTATGGTTAATAAAGTAAAAATGGGGGTGCACGAAGCAACCCCCTTTTCTTACAGCCGAAATAATATTTCAATTACTTTTATCGGGATTCCCTTGTTTCCATTCGTTCAATTTTCCTTTTCTGAGTAAGTTTCAATTCACATCTCCATTACCATTCTTATCATGTCTAGCTCTTTATGATTATCATTGGATTATGCCTGTTTCTATGTGTTGAGACAAACTTGCACAAGGTAAATTTGTTCTCTTTCTTTCTTTTTTCTTTTTATATTTACAATTACCTTTTAAGCTTGTTGAATTGAAATTTTATGTTGATGTCCTTGATGGAATGCATTAATCTTGCGGTGGCATGTAGAGCTATTTCAAAATGAAAGAAAATGTCCCTTTTTGGTTAAATGTCTCTTTACAACTCTTTAGTTTTTATTCTTTGATTGAGATGATTTAGACACATTTCTCATGTGGTTATCTTTGTAGATTGTTTGATGCATTTCTGGACTGGGATCTAGAATAATTGAGCTTACATTGAGGCTTATGTTGAATGAATTCATATTGGTATTATTCATTTAAGCAATTGAGAATATAAAAATGACGTCAAGTGTTAGGTCATAAATTTATGGATGATTTGATGGGATCGAATTGGGAAAGTGGAGCTTAATACAACCTGTTTTTTATTTGTGTTTCAATTGTATGGATTTCAAACTATGTTCTGAACATTAGAAATAATAAGGAAATTGACCTTAAGTTGTTGTAGGGACCTTCAAGGGGTAATCAATGGGGAAGCCTCTTGCAAGGAAGAACAGCATTGTAGTATCAAGGTCGAACAATGGAAGTTTCAAACTGGGGAAAAGTGTCGTAGAGCGTTCCTATAGCTGCAAGGCTTTTGATGAGGACACAACAATCTTCATCACCATGTCCCAAGAATTGAAAGAAGAAGGGAAAAGATTACAACAAAGGCATGACTATGAGGGCGCAATGTTAAAGTACGGGAAAGCCATTAAATTGCTCCCCAGGAACCATATTGACATGGCTATATTACACACTAACATGGCATCTTGTTATATGCAAATGGGGATCAATGAGTATCCAAAGGCTATAAACGAGTGCAATTTAGCTCTAGAAGTTTCTCACAAGTACAGCAAAGCTTTGCTCAAGAGGGCAAGGTGCTATGAATCTTTAAATAGGCTTGATCTAGCTCTTAAGGATGTGAACCATGTCCTAAGTGTAGAACGTAACAATTTGTCTGCTTTATACATTGCCAGTCGGATCAAGAAAGAAATGGAAGAAAAAGGTATTGTGCTTGAAAATAAAGAGATTTATGTTGAACCTTCGATTGCTTGTGCGAGCAAGGTAAAAGATCACAACAAGGTGAAGAAGAAGAAGAAGAAGAGTCATAAACATGATAAGAAGAAGGTTGAAGAAGTTGAGCCTAAAAAAGAGGCCGAGGAGGAGGAGGAGGGGGGAAAGAAGGCTGTAGATAAAGTGGTGGTAGATGAGAAGACAACTGTTATGAAAGAGCAATTAGTGACTAAGGCTGTGAAATTAGTACTTGAAGAAGATATAAGATGGGCACAATTACCAGTTAATTGCAGTATAGGACTCGTAAGAGAGACGATCCTAAATCGGTTCCCAGACATGGTAGGTGTACTTATCAAGTACAAGGATCGAGAAGGCGACATGGTCACCATCACAACGACTGCCGAGCTTAGGATGGCCGAGGTAAGTCTTGATCCAAACATGTCCTTAAAGTTGTACATCAAAGAAGTCAGTCCCGATAAAGAACCAATTTATGAATGGACTAATCAAGAAAAAATGAGAAGACCATATGAATCACCATCCACTAGTAATTTGGAGAAAGGAAGAAGAGAACTGGAGAGAGGACCGATATGTGTCGAGGAATGGATAGTACAATTTGCAAAGCTTTTCAAGAACTACGTTGGCTTTGAATGTGACTCGTATTTGGACATTCATGAGATAGGAATGAAGATTTACTCAGAAGCTATAGATGAGAGTATTACAAGTGAGAATGCTGAAGAGCTTTTTGAAATCGCCGCAGAAAAATTCCAAGAGATGGCCGCACTGGCATTGTTCAATTGGGGAAACGTTCACATATCTAAGGCAAGGAAGAGAGTATACCTTACAGAAAATGGCTCTAAAGGTTCAGTCTTGGAACAGATCAAGTGTGCCTTTGATTGGGCCCATAACGAATATGGATTGGCCGGAAGGAGATACGAAGAAGCAGTCAAACTCAAGCCGGACTTTTACGAAGGGCTTCTTGCCCTCGGACAACTACAATTCGAACAAGCAAAGCTACAATGGTATTATCTCATTGGTACTGAGAGGAAAGTTGATTTAGAGACGGCTCCGTCTATCGAGGTATTGGAATTGTATAACAAGGCTGAGGATAACATGGAGAGAGGGTTACAGATGTTGGAGGAGACCGAAGAACAACGTCTCAATGGACTATCAAAAAATGAAGAGTATAAATCTGTTTTGTGTAAGATGGGTTTAGATGGGGTTCTTAAGGATGTCATGCCTGAAGAAGCTGAAGAGCAAGCTGCTAATATGAGGTCTCAAGTTTACCTTTTATGGGGGGCCTTACTCTATGAGCGCTCAGTTATGGAGTATAAATTGGGTTTACCAACGTGGGAGGAGTGTTTGGAGGTTGCAGTCGAAAAGTTTGAAATGGCAGGGGCATCTTCAACAGATATTGCTGTCATGATAAAGAACCATAACTCTAATGATACTGCTTTAGAAGGTAATGATGAAATTTTCAATTCTTATGCAATTACTTTATTTGCATAACTTGCTCCCTATGTCCCGCTTATTTTCCCTATTTCAATTCTTAGTCCATTCCGTGATAGCATTTCTAATAATAAAGAGAAACTGGTGTATTGATAAGACCCCGTCAAACTAGTTAATAAGTTGAATTCAATCTTTAGCTGGGGTCAGTCCAAGTGCCTAATGGTCTAATTGACCGACCCCAACACAAAACCAAACTCTTCTAATTTAGTTCATTATTCCTAGTATCTTAAGGTCGAATATAGGAACATCAATCCATCTTGAGTTTTATCAATGTTGGTTTTGTTAATTTGGATGACAATAAAATTTTAACATTACTAATTCACCCTTTCTATCATTTTACTTCTTTGAAAGTTCACATGTGGCCCCACATGAGGGACTGTATTTGAAAGTGAACTACATGTTTGTAGTCTTCATGACAAACATGTGGCATTATATTTTGGGTTAGGAGTATTATATGATTTTTATTTACCCGTTTACATATGTTTCTAATTTAGGGTTCAAGGTTGATGAAATTGTACAAGCATGGAATGAAATGTATGATAATAATAGGTGGCGGACTGGCATCCCTGCTTTCCGTTTAGAACCACTGTTCCGCCGGCGCGTTCCTCAACTTCAGACCGTTCTAGAGAATCTATAAACTATTAATCAGTTGGAATTTTGGTTTCATCATTGGGGCAGAAGATTAGTACACCTTCATTTAATTTACCACTGCATGATGTGCTTGCCAGTTATAATAGGTAGAGTGCATTGCTTGCTTGCCCTTATGACATTTAGAGTGAAATTACCATTTTACTTTTAGTGTGGTTCAGGTTTTTTCAGTTTTGCAGGGGAGCATCTTGTAAAACTAACTAATTCACCTTCCCTTTCGCTTCCATGTGAATATCTCCATTACCAAGTAAAGTGTATTGCTGAGTATATAGAAAAGTATTTGTCTGACATTGACATAAACAAAGCTTTTACTCTATTACTTGCTTTTAAATTAGTGTGACATTTTCAAAATCGTGCACACGATCCTTATACTGTTATGCATACATATTTAATGATGTTTTGTTCAATGACAGAATAGGTTGAATATGATGACATATTTACCGAAATGACAGCAACAATTTCTGTTTCTCCTGAATTATTTCAAACTTGATTTAAAATGTAATTGCCATAAGTAAAGTAAACAATGGCTACAAATGAGGACAAAAGTGATCGCGTGACATAGTTTTTTCAGCCGTTCTAGCAAAAAATAATGCAATTTTTCTCTTATTTTTTAAATTGTCAGCTGGTTTAGCCGATGTAGAAAAATTTTGCCACTTAATACAAATTTCTATGATAAGTCGGAAATTTGTATGATAAGGATTATAAGATGAAAAAGTATGGTTGCAAAATTAACCTCTTTGTGGTAATCATTGAGTTTTGTAACCAAACTATCAATATTATTTTTCCACATTATGAAGCATTGTGCTATGAATTCACCATCTTTTCGTTCTTGGTAATATTACTATATTTCTCTAGTTGTTGCCTCTGCAATTAGCGAAGTTCACCGGTTCAAGTAATGATAGAAACTGAATCATGGAGAATTATGGTGCTATTTGCATATGTATACAACTTCATGTTCGTGCTATAAACTAATCACTTTAAAAGCAACTTACATTTTACATAGGTTCTTCATTTCCTTCATCCCAAGTAAGTTCTTTTACACATGCTGTCAAAATATTTGCATATGTATAATGTGTACAGTTTTTCACTTTCATGCTCAAAAAAAAATATTGGAATATTACATTGTTTTTATCGGGAAATTTCCTTTTTTTTATTTTGGTCATTTTTCTAAAGAATGCTCATCTCAAGGTGGTGGTTGCTCATTTTTATTTTAAAGACTGCAAATTTGTGTGTAGTGGATGCATGGTTATTATGTATTTTGCACAAAAACTTTTGATGGTAGACGGACAGTTATCATACATCATAAAAACTTTTGAAAGAAATGCCGCTAATTTAACTGCCATTATTTTCATAATAGAATTCGGCTTTCAAACAGACCGTGTTTTATAGATGGCAGAAGTTACATTTTTACAGGAAAAAAATATTTATTTATTTATTTATTTAAATATTCAACTAAAATGAAGCAACGAATGAATCTAGTTAAAAAAGGTTTTATGCAAAATTAACTAGCACAAAAAGGACAAACAGTGATGTAAACATCCAACAGAAGTGCAGAACAAAATATCTCTAGAACCATAAAAAAGTATCACACCAAAAGATCGTGTTGAGATTATTTATAGGGATTACTTGTTATATCTCTTCTCATCCACTCTAGAAACTACGAGAATTTATTTATAGGGACCATTATTGGCGGAAGGTCCCTAAAGTTGGGATTATTCTGAAATAATCGATAGTTGAGATTATTATGGGCGGATCATCAATAGTTGGGATTATTACTATAAATTTTTCCTAAAATCAATTATTTATCTCAATTACAAAATTAACAACATAATAACTTAATACTATGAATTTGTTAAACTCAATTATAAATAAAAAACGAATCTACCTAATTAACTAAAAAAGTCAATTTGTTAAACTCAATTACATAATATCTAAAACTTAATAAGCACTAAATAATAACCTCAGTTTGATAATGACTAATTAGTTAATAAAATTATCAAACTATAAACATGAAAAGAAATAAGATAAAAACGACAATGATATACTCCATTAAGATCAGAGATCTGAATTTGTTGTTCAAAATCTAAAGACCTAACTTAGATTGGGCGGGGTTCGTTCATTTTATGGCCAAGTGGCTTGATGGTGTCCTTCACGGTTTTGCCTTGTTGACTTGTTGTTTGGTTCATTCGTCGAGGAATGAGACTTTGGGAGTCAAGAGGATTATTAGGTTCGTACTGTTTAAAGAATAATGGGCCGGAGCTGTTTGATTGTTCGACACTTTGGCGTCCGAGCAAAAACGCTTGCATAATTAGTACGTAGTATTAATATGACTAATTATTTTGTGGGCCTTCATATTTCATTGGGCCCTGTGCCACTGCACTGTTGGCACATGGTATAGGCTGGCCCTGACTGCGGCCACCGCTTGTGTCACTGCGGCCACCGCCCATGTCACTGCGACCACCGCCTGTGTCACTGCGGCCACCGCCCGTGTCATTGCAGCCATAGTGACATCGCCTCCCGTGACAATCGGCACAGTGACATCGTCTCCGATGACACTGTCACTGACATCATCTCCGGTGACACCGTCAGAGTGACACCACCACAGTGAAACACCAACTTCGACCATAGTGACATCATCCAACTCAGTGCCTGCTGACGGCAGCACCACCCTCCAACATCACCCTCCCTTCCCCTGTACCTGCACCTGCCTACCATAGCTCCCTCCAGAGTCCACAACACCCTTCTTAGCAGCCAGTCACGTCTTCAGCCGACCTTCCCAACCCAACCAGCACTAACATCACCCACGTACCCAACCACTGCCGCCGCACCCTAACTTTACTAGTAACGCCCAGTCCCCGGCCTCTCAGCCCAACCTCACCTCCATCACTGCCAGCCAATCGCTGCCGCAAACCAACTCCGACCACCCCCAATCAGCCCCAATCCACCCCTCTTAGCCTCACCTTTGACAGCCCTACCCAGCCCCAACCACCCGCCAATGAACCCTAGCCGCCGCCTTCCCCCAGATCTGGCCGCTTAATGGTCGCCATTTCAGATCTCACACTCCTTCCATTCACGGTGAAAGGAGGCGCGGCAAGGTAAGGCAAGGCGATGCGGAGAGGTAAGGCTAGGGGAGGCACAGAAACGGCGGCATATGCAGTGAGGTGAGACGGAGAAGCAACGGTCTGTGCGACGAGGCTGAGGGGCGACGTCGATCGTCAAGCTCTCGTCCTCACTCGCCGGTACTGGAAGAGATGTCAGGAGATTGATGGCCGATTGCCATCGCTGAGTGCGCTGGAAGATCTTCGGTTGGTCTCCTTTGGCTGGAAGAGATAGTTGCACAGATCTGTTTTCATCGGTAAAGGGACGGTGACTTTTTGGGAAAATTGGAAAAGGGCGATATTTTTGGAATTAGAAAGTCGGTGGTAATATCCATGTACTTATTTCATAAGAAAAGGGTTCTTCCACCATACCAACATAAATTACAAGAGTTGAGAGAATTTCCTAAATATGAGTAAAAACGTTTTGAAATTCCAAAATAGAACTATCGTGTTTTTTATTCCCTGAATAGGAATAAATTTATGCCAAGTTTAACATTACTAGGCTTTAAACATGACATTTTTTTTTCTTCCAAACTTGACAAATTACTCCTGTTCACAGAATAAAAAACATGAGTCTTATTTTAAAATTTCAAAACGTTTTTACTCCTATTTAGAACAATTTCTATTTTTTGTTTTATATTAAATCAAGGTTATGCGGCAGGTTCATAATTTGATGAAGAAGCTATATATCAATGTTTTTTCATTAAACGCAATATTGATGCACAACTGGAAAATTTGATCCTGATGAAGACAATCAGCGGCATTAATGTTGAACAATATGCAGGTTATTAATTTTCATTTTTTTCCCATTGGAGTGACTTTTTCTTTTCATCAAGGGAAGAAGTGCAAATTATAAAGGGTAAGACAAGACACGTAAATGTGTGATGTGGCATGATTCCTTGTTCACTTTCTTAACTACGATCTAGACTTGAGTGTGTTATAAATGACCAGTTATCTAAGCAAAGTGCATTGATGATCCACATGCAGTACCTTATAGAAGTTATAAATTGGGACGGGGTCACGGGGGAGATAAACTCATTCATGGACTCCTATTTTCAATTTGAACTTATTTGCAAGTAGTGGTAAAACATACAATACTACCAGGAGATGAACTTTATCAATTATCACAAGCCATCCCGGCTGCTTAAAGATGTTTTTACTTGGACTGTAATTTGTTGGTCTGGTCTGAACTGGTCTGGTAATGCCTGGTCTCTTTGTATTTTTATAACTATCCAAGTTTGGTCTAGTCCGGTCTGGTCTGGTTTGGTATGGGACAGATTACCGTCCAAGTAAAAACATCCTAAGATTACACTTTCAAGAGTCCAAGAGTCCCCCCATCCACCTAATACATTCTTCATGAAGAAATATCCAGTCCCTGAGAGGGCATTCGGGTTGGCAAAGAGAAGGAAAGTACCAAAAAGATTCCAATCCTTTCACACGAAGGTAACTGCAACAATGACAGCAATGACTAGACAATTTCTATGCAAGTGTGGGATGCAAATGACCATGACACCCCCATGCAATAAAGGGTGGACAACATGATACTGTCCCAAGTTGGGACCAAAAGGTTGTGTATCAGCAAGCTGAGCCGCTGATCGGTTTTAGAACCGGAACAGGTTAGGTACCAAATAACATTCTGGTAACAGGTTTTCCGCAGTAGGCCCCCCCACTGGCCAGTCCCAACCCTAAGAAATACAACTTAATCCAACTTTTGTTTAAATTTGAAATTACAATCCAGAACTAGTCGTAAACGAATGACGAAACGGAGTACCAGAACTGTTGACTGTAACTGGATCAGACAGGAGCCAGACCACAATTAACCACCCGTTGCGGTTCGGTTCTCCAAACTTTGGGACTGGTAACAGATTGGAACGGGGCCATTTCCAGACACATGTGCCCAACCAAATATAATAGCCTAATGAGCAAGAAGAGATCAAGGCAGGATAGACACACACCATCATTACGAGTGTTCTAAATAGTGCTAGACAACAAATTCTAACTGGGATTTGTTTCTTCTTCATTTGGTTTACCAATAACTCAATGAATTCTGTCATCACAGCATGTGATACCCTTGTATCTATGTTACACATTCAACTATCTTAATCTTTATGTGGACAATTTAAGATTATGACATGCAAAAGCGTATAATAAGCTTATTATGACTTGAAAAGAATTATAAGATGCCAGCTGATGCATCACGTTAAGATAGTAAAT